AACTAAATTAGGAGTCTCACCTACTACAAATACTTGCATTGCCGGTGCGTACTATAGCCAAACCAACTACATACACACACATATTCAAACATGCAGTATTTTGCGTTTATAGTTGAATTAGGCTCAGACTACTTGCAAAGGGGATGCTACTTACATAGACGCGACGAAAATGTTGTACTTGTTGTAAATTAAAGAGCAGAACATTTTTATCGTCTGCTAATAAAATTAATGGATTTATTCAATTCATCGCTGTATACCAACCGCCAAACGCCCCAAATGTGCAGTTGGAAAGAAGCTGATGGTGTTGGTAAATAAATGTTGGCTCTGTTGATTCTAGTTATGCTGGTCGACGTGACATTAAACTGACAGTTTACACGCTCCACAGCACAAGCGCAGGCAAATGCAGCGACTGCAAACGCTACGAGTCGTGGAAGATGTTCCCCAATGGTATCTAGTGTAAAAAAAGCAAGACACTATTTGGAGGCTAAGAAAATGTATACGCATGTTTTTCTATGCACATTTTCACATATCTGCGCCAGTCAGTTAAAGTAACTTAAGTCGAGATACATCATTTTCCCTTTAAAGCAATATTTCATTGGGTTTCCAAACAATATTTTCACAATTGACTAGCCGCAGGTATAGTTTAAGTTGGCTTTTCATAGAAGCTCAATAAAAATATAAAACTTTTAAAGGGAAACGTATAATTTTTTTAACTCAGAGTCAAACCTTCTAAAGTCACTAAAGTTACTTTGACTGACGGGCACACATACATATGTACACATGTATGCATTTACGCATATAGATAAGTTTTTGAGGATACTATACATATACAGAATCGGTCATAACAATAGAACCCTCATTTCAAAGTGATAATATTTGCCGCTTACATACATATGTTTAATTATTTACTTTTAGAAATTTTCAATTAACACACAGTCCTTCTCTAACAAAATTTATATAAACCCAAATTTAAAATTTTGTAAGTTCATTCTCTAACAAAGTTCATATAAACCCAAATTTAAAATTTTTTGAAAGACTAAAAAAATGCAACCAAGTTTCAAAAAATTTCAAACTTTACCGTTGATTTTCAAGATTTTTTCTGTCGCATTTGCTAACATATAACGAATAAACACAGTTTATTTTTATATGGCAGAAATCCGCAGCACCTTCGACGAAAAAAAATTCTAAAATATCTAAAAAAATAATTTTTAGCCACATATTGCACTAAAATTGAATGGGCTATAAAACTGTGTACTCAAAAAAATTCAAACACTTCTGAGAAAAAAGTTAAAAATTTGGGTAAAAAATTTGTTACATTTTTTCATAGTTTTCTACAAAGTTTTAAGCTTGGGCTTATATGGGTTTTGTTAGATAATGAACTGTATTTTAATTGAAAATTAGTAAAACTAAGTAAATAAACATGAGCGGCAAGCAATATCACTTTGGAATGGCGGTGCGATTGATATGACTGACACTGTACATACACTGCCTGAAAGAAATATTAGCACAGAGAATTTTTCACAATATACATAAGCAGAAAATTTTGTTTCAATATTTTTCGCTAATTTTCTCTTTTATAAAAATATGGTTTATTTTACAACAAAAAACATAAAAATATAATTTTTAAACTTTGTGCAAAACTCGGGAAAATTGAATAAATTTTCATTAATATTTTCAACTTTTTTATCAGATTTTCGGATTTAGAAATTTCTTGAGTATGCAGTTTTTTAGCCAATTAAATTCCAGTATGTACAGTATGGCCATGTCGTTCGGATGGACAGAAACGCTCCTGCTCTGAAAATATTCAACGCGGGCCGCGATGCTGGTAACAGAGGAAGAGGAAGGCCTCCTCTGCGTTGGAAAGACCAGGTGGAGAAGGACTTGGCTTCACTTGGCATTTTCAATTGGCGTCAGTTAGCACAGAAGAGAAATGACTGACGTGCTGTTTTGGACTCGGCCAAAATCGCTTAGGCGGTTACAGCGCCAAATAAGAAGAAGAAGAAGATGTACAAAAATGCAAGTTTGAAGTTAGTCCAAAATCGCGTTGATTTTTGAGATTTTTTTATGTTGAAGGTGCTTTGCATTTTCCCTACAAAGTATTTTCAAAAATTTTTTTGTTAAAGGAAACTGCGTGAAAAAAATTATGATTATAAAGTTTGTATTGAATTTTCCCCACTTTTGCCCAATGTTTAAAAATTATATTTTTTTGTTTTTTGTTGTAGTATGAATGATATTTTTTTTTCAATTTGCCGGAAAAATTAAAATAAAAATTTTGCATATATTGTAAAAAAATTCTCTGTGCCAATACTTTTAGCAGGCAGTGTACATATGTATAAATAATCTTGTTCGCAGACTAAAATATGTTAAGCAACCGTTCTACACAAAAAAAAATATTTGCGAAAATGCAGTTTCATACAAATGTATGTACGATCAAGTCTGGAACTTGCATACCTATGGTTGTAATTAGTTGAACCACTTGGGTGGGCTTACCAAGGCGTGTTAATCTATCTTCGTTTACATGGTGAAACGATAATTGCTTGAATTTACAAACGTGTTTACAAGTTCTCAAATGATTTCGAATTTACCGGTTGATTTTCTCATTGCAAGCAAGCCATAAATACTAGAGTAATGCATAAATTTTAAAGTCTTGTGAATGTATCGTAAATATCCGCGCGCCTTTCTAGTACTTCTTTCACTTCAGCAAAAGAAGACTCAAGTTTCTTATAAAAAATTCGTATGCAACTTTATATCCCAGTGCCCTACATAGTCGCAAATAGAAGCTTCCGGGCCTTTATTGACAACATTTCACAAATAAATTTCGAACATTTCCCTAATTAATCATCATGCAACGGTACTCACATGGTAAATTTTCAGCGCCAGCGCTAACGCCAAGTACTCAACCGCCTTTGATAGATGTGTAGCGATGTTATGATGATTTAACATGCATACAACTACACACATCTGTCCAATATTTGCATGCCAACAACGAGTTACAAACACAAAATAAATACAAATACAAAAAAAAACATTAAATGAATCAAGCAAAACTTTTTGCACAGTCGCGCATGCGCTGCAACGCTTGCTTCTGGCAGCAATAAAAGCAAGTTGGTACCCCTCTATTTAAGCCGCGCTGTTGCATGATGTTCATGCCGGTTGGTTTGCACATAATTTCCTTTTTTTTTAATATTCGTTTGTCTTAATTTTTGTTTTGATTGCAACTGCAACACTTCCCACAGGCATTTTGTAGTTTGCGGGTTCGGATTTCATCGTAGACAACATGCAATGGCAACCAGCAGAAAAAGCGGAATATGAAAAAGAATTCTTAATTGAGGGCAAAACCATAAAAAAGTGAAGTCCCAGCCAGATATGTACAACTTCTAATGACCAACGTACNTATTTGTAATTGTTTAGGTGTACATGGTTCAGTGAAGTTGACTGATCTCCCACACATTTTATATTGGTCATGCAGCTAACGCAGCGTTTTTCGTTTAGACAGTTCCACCACCTAAGTATGCTGCTTGCATACCAACCAGCGTCATGAGCGTTTCAGCCGGAAGGTGCTTTTGGACAGTTGTCCCCACAATTAAATAAAAGCTTGTAAAAAATAGCTCAGGTCAGCATAGCAAAAAAGCTGCATTCGCCTATTTATTATTGTTGTATGTTTGTTGAAGTGCAATTCCTCTTACAAATGCATATGTATGTATGTATTTACATACGGTACTTGGCAAAACATGCTTGCGGCAATTGAAGTGTTCACATAACGAATGCTGGTTTCACCTTCAGGGACCATCAACAGAACCGATAGCAAGCTGTGCTATTACATAAGTGAATGCACAAAAATTTTGGGTATGCAAATTATTTATTTAAAAGTTTTTTTCATTTTAAAGTTTTGAATGTACATATAATCGAATAGTAAAAATGAATACATATTTTGTTCTAGTGGCCTACTGGTAATCGAAACATCTACGAAATTTTTATATAAGAAAAGTAACTCTCTCTTAACTCAATATTTGTAATTTCTTGATTATGACATTATTGAAGTAAATGAGCGATACATATGTACTTTTGAAATTTACTTTCCTTTATTTATTTGTTAGCAGCAGGATACCGTTTTATTGTCTATAAGTTTACGCTTTCATATTCATTTTCGCTTAGATCGAAATCTTCCTCTGAGCTTTCATCACTTCCATACATTTTAAAATGGGTTTTCCATGTTGAGTTTGATTGTATTTGATTTTGTAAAAAGGCCAAATTTTGGTTCGAATTTTTGGTACTTCTTTCGATTTGCAACACAAAGAACATGCCACACACACATCTGCTTGTCAAATTATTGCGGTATGATCAGTGGCGAATTTACCGTAAAGGCAACATAGGCAGGTGCCTAGGGCGGCAAAATTTAGGGGCGGCAAAATTTTAGTTGAAAAAAATAATTTTTTTTTTAAGTTAGCTGCACTGAAAGTAGGATTTGTGTAGGTACATACATTTTAAGACATAAATTTGAGATTCAACTACGCAATCAGAAAACACGACAACACTGTTGGGTATTTTTGATATTATTTAAATGATAATATTTAAATTATTAATTTAGTATTTTTGAGATTATAACTTATCAAGTGAAAAAAACTTTGTTGATGATGGCTTTCTTTAAAAGTTGAAAACTCAAGGCAATTACCACCTTTTTATCTTTAGTTGTAATAAAAGTATAGTAAATAACATAAATTTGAATATTACTGTTTACTGCTAATCATTCCAAAACTGGTACTTTTACCTCAAAATATCTTTCTTATCGGAAAAAGGGCGGCAAATTCTGAATTGCCTAGGGGTGACAAATATTCAAATCCGCCACTGGGTGTGATTGAAAAAGAGAATGTAGTAGCAATGATGAAGTTATTTAATTGCAAATGGCAATTCAAGAAAGATACACCTAAGTAACCTTTTTTAAATGTTAAAAATATTGCATACAGCACAACTTAGTAGCTAAAAAAGAAGAGGGCACTCACCTCATCGTTTTCTTCCGAGTTTTTTTTAGCGGACGGCGATACCACCGCCGCCTTTGCTTCCTCCTCCGACACGAGACGATTAAATTTACGAGTAGCCTCTTTAACGCTTACATTATTGCCCGGAGGATCGACATCTGAGTCTATTGCTTCCTTGCTGCTGAGTGATGTTGCCGAGTCACTGTTTTCTTTATTTCCCCGATGCTCCTCCCTTGAAATGCCTTTTAAACGCTCTTCCACTTCCAACTCTTGTTTTTCTTCCGGATTTTTTTTTGCTTCCAACGCCCCTATTTCAGGCTTTGCGAAGACTGCCTGTGCGGCTTTACTGGTTTCTATTGTGGCTACTTCGACTATTTTATCTAAACCACAGTTCGCGTTGGGTGTTGGCGTAGTTACTTGTGGTGGTGGCACGTATGGTNGATTAGTATTGCCATAATGCAACCCTGCTGCGAGGTTGCAAAATGTAGACGCGTAAAAAACATACCTTTGAGTGTGACAAAATGTAGACGGCGTCGTTTTCCAATTTTGTATGGGAAACAACAACACCACAGATTTTACGGTTAGAAAACGTCTTAAAATGTAGACGTCAACATTTTCAGACACTATTTGGAACGAACTGTGAACACCCCAAGAGAGTGCGATGATGAAGAGAATGAAAAGAAGCAAACAAAATTCGAAAGGATTGACATTTGCTAGTCAGCGAGCCAGCGAGATGTGCGCTCATATGGTGGTGTGGATGTTCGATAAAGAAAATTAACTTGTTTGAAATAAGCAATAATTTTTGTTATGAGAAACTTCAGTATAAATATTTCCTTTAATATAAGTTAAAATGTACATGTAAAATATTTTTTCTACGTAGTTGAAATGGGGAAGAGGCTCTTAATTGGCATATATAACTTGTGCGTTAAGGGGCGCTTAAACGTTAATGCGTCCGTCCTCGTTTGCATGCGTTTTACAGATAAAATGTAAAATGTATAATTGTCAGGCTGTGTGGATCAAACCTGAAATAATTACCATCGGCCCTGTTACGGTTCAGACTCGACCCCAACATCCCCAATGAATGTCCAGCATGGGGGGACTCAATGCACTATGCCAACTACCTCTTCACATTCCAGCTCAATCCCACTCAACTAACCCGCCTCGCCCTTAGGTCCGACCCTGTTGAAACCGCCCGTTTCTTGGGCCTACCGTTAGTTGAGCTTGGCGACAATGATTGATGGATGAACCGAAATAGGCGGGGCTTTAATAGTGCCGCTAAAAATACATCAACAAGTCGAAGCGGATGGCCTTCAATGTTTAACCTAATCTCGGACGAGAAACCTAAATTCTAAGAATTACTACGTCGAATGTTTTAAGGATTAAAGGCCCAATGATTCACTTCGGTTATTGAATGCCATGCTGCGATCGGACGAGAGCTCCACAGCCTAGAGGTGACAAGTCAGATAGAATTATCAGGCGAAGGATAATTCTTGCCTTCTTGAAAATCCGGACCTTCTCGACGAACAAAAATTATGCTCTACAAATCTAATCATGCTCGTCCTTTTATAAGGCGCGGAAACATGGACGATGTCGAACAAAGATGATACAACTTTGGCGGCTATCGGGAGAACTGAAAGATCTAAGGTACTGTTGTATGACCAACGGATACTGAAGAAGGTGACGAACTGTACGAGCTCCTTAACGACTTGGACTCATTTAAGCGTATAGTAATACAAAAATTGCGCTGGCTTTGACATGTACACATGGATGATGATGCTCCACTGAAACGATGCTTTCCAAATTGACAGATAAGATCCTTCGACCAGAACGCGCGGCTACTTCATGAAGTCTCACATACGGACTTACATAAATTATTGAGGAAACCTTGGAGAATATAAAGTCAGGGATATTTCGTCCCTAACGATGATTGGCCGATAGTTTTCCAGCATTCTTCTTTTTCTTATTTGGCTGTTTAACCGTATGAGCGATTTTGGCCGAATTAAACAAAGCACGCTAGTCGCTCCTCTTCTGTACCAACTGACGCCAATTGGAAATGCCAAGTGAAGCCAATTCCTTCATCGTAGTGGATACGCTAGTAATTGCAAGCTCTTGTAAAAAATGGTTATTGAGCGGTTCATTCTGTAGCTCTATTATCTTCTCAACATCCGATTAAAGAAATCACATTAAAGGGAGTCGCCTGTCTGAACGCCGCTTGGTAGCAAACGGTTCGGAGAGGTCTTTCCAATTCTGAGGAGCGGTGGTATTGCCAACTCATTACGCTATCAGTTTCGAGGGGATGCCAAATTCAGACATCGTGGCCCATAGGCAACTCCTTTTAGTTCTGTCGAAAGCGGCCTTGAAGTCGGCAAAGAGGTGGTGAGTGTCGATTCTTTTCTAGCGAGTCTTTTCCCAGATTCGGCGTATTGTGAATACCTGGTCTATGGTGGATTTTCCAAATATAAAGTCACTCTGATAATGCCCAATCAGTTCGTTAACGGTGGGCTTCAGTCTTTCACACAATACTCTCGATAAGATCTTGTAACCTATGCTTAGAGGGCTGATCCCGCGGGTAGTTGGCGCATATGGTGGAATTTCCTTTCTTGTGGATTGGGCAGACCATACTTAAGTTTAAGTCGTCCTCGACGCCGTACTTGAATAGCTCGGCTGGCAGGCCATCAGCTCCAGCAACTTTGGTATTTTTCATCCGCATAATCGCAATTCATATCTCGTCTCGACATCGACTCCATCGTCATCGACTGCGGGCTCGGGTTCGTCTTCTCCTCTACATTCAGTGCTGTTGCCATTCAATATGGTGGAAGAGTCTTCGCTGCATAATTTAAGTACGTTCGAGATATCGGTCACTAGGTCGCCATTGTTTATCTTACAGGAGTTCGCCCTGGTCTTGAAACCTTCCATAAGTCGCCTAACCCTCTGGTAAAATTTTTGGGCCTATCTCCTGTCGGCCAGCATTTTAAGCTCTTTGCACTCACGTATTTCGGCATCTACCAGCTTAAGCTAATCAAAAACAAGGGGTGAAGCTGGTGAGGTCTACGCAAAGTTTTTTTGTCCCTTTTGCGCTTTGCTTCGGCGAAAATCGGTTGCAGCGGAAACGACTGATAGAAAGCCAATTTTCCAGCTCCGAAGGTATTTGATACGGTACCCGGAAAAGACGCATAGGGACTGGACGACTTGAATTGGTCTTTCTAAGCGGGGAATGATTTTTGTGCGAAGCTTCTTCATGGCAGAAATAGACTATTTTGCGAAATTATTTGCTGACCAGAGATCGAAATTGGGTCCTATCGAGTGTTAGTAAGCACCTCTAACCAATTCTCCGTAATTCGCCTATATGTATGTATGTATGTATTTGTTTGAAATATTTTACTAATTGACTAACATGGGCATCAACTGCCAATATAAGATCCCACAAAATCATAAAACCCCACCATAAAATGCAATGGTCCTTTGAATTGCACCTCACACCACCCTCTGCTGAAGGCCGAAGCTCCCAATTAAACCAGCAACGGCACACTGCAAACACACAACTGGGACACGTGCGCCCTAACAAGCAGCAAATTAAGGTGACATTCCATTGCAAAAAAAATATCAACAAATACTGAAAAAAACACTAAAAAAAATTCACTACAAATATTTGAAATTTTATGAAAAAATATGAAACATTTGCGAACAAGCGCAGGGGTGACACCCGATCATGAAGGAGCAGGCAAAAATTGGGTGGCACGAACGTGTGTATGTATGTACGGATCCCCCTTGGTTTAGTACTGTAGCGGTAATTAATAATTTCCTGCAATTTGAATGCCACCAAATCTACATACATATCTCCCCCCTCCATCTCCCTTCTCCCTGCCCATAGCTCAGTGCGCACTTGAAATTTCATTAACTTTAGGAAGGAGAGAAATGAATTCGTGGCAGGCAGAGATGGAGCTTCAATTAGAGTTGTTGTATGTATGCAGTTGCACTTGCAACGCCTCACTTGCCACACACAACGCTTGCTGCGGCCGCAAATTAATGCATTAAAATTAGATTTATACGCGCCGAGCTGAGTGCAGTAAAGCAGAAGTAAATGCGTGAATGCAAATTAATTTGACAGTGTAAGAAGTGATGGCGCTGCAGTTGAGGAGCCATGCGATGGAATTCTCCTAAGGAATTCATCAACCTGCTGAAGTCTTGCGGATTTGTAGTTGGTGGTCCCGCTGAAGGTTGGTTGGCTTGGCTTGGATGGCGGATGCGCTTCATTTGACATTTTGTCAGGTGACAAGTGCGAATGCGGAAAACACATACATACATACATACATACATACTTATTCCCCTGTCTAAGGACAATTGTGCACGGTGAATCTACTTACATACATACATATGTACACACATATTATTTGCCTACATTCATAGATATACATACATATCTACATTAGAGCGCATCACTCTCCATAAAAAAAAATCGGCACCGTTTTCCATCGAAATTATAAAATTTGTTATATTTTAAGATTTATGCCGAAATATTTGGGTTTTCAACATAGAACATAGAAGAGCTTAAGCTTGAAAGGTCTGCATTCCGATTTTTTTTTTCATTTTATCAACACAATCAAAAAACAATATTTTTGGAGGTATTTTAAAAAGGGTCCAGCTCACGTAAATCTTAATATTTAAGCGGAAAACTTTTTCGAAAGTCTTATATTATAATAAATTTTATGATTCCGGTGAAAAAACCACTACTTTTTTTGGTGATGCACCCTTATGTGTAAATTTACACAAATGAGTTATGTATGCAAAATAACAACAAAATTAAGCAGCGCTAAAGATTTTGTGGTGCGCTTCACACTAATGTTGGCCCCCTACCATGGGCGTAAGCAGAGCATAATTTAGAGGGTGAGGGGGGCTGAGATTTTTTTGTAATGTAAATTTTATTAGACATGTTAAAATATAGCTATTAAAAATTTACAATAATTTATCTCATTAATTTATATCCTATCAACCGACTTCAAAAAAAGGAGGAGGTTATCAATTCATCGGAATATTTTTTAATGTAGTTATTTTACCGCACAACTTTGGACCAAAATCGTAACTTTTTCATTATTTTTAAGCGACTTCAAAAAAAGGAGGAGGCTATCTATTCTTCGGCATATTTTTGTTTTTGTATGTTACCGCATAATCGATTTCGATAATTCTTTTTTAGAGGTGGACCCATCCTAATTTGGTTTAGATCCGATAGATAGATTTACATAAGAATTGAAGTCGGTTTTGTTTCAAAAGATTGTGGCGAGTTGAAAGACAGCTGCCAGAATTGCCCTGTAAATATGAAGATATGTTTCCCCTTTGTAAGTCTTTGAGCGAGGCTCTCTTGGCTTTATTGCCAACTAACTGGATTATGTCTTATGTAAACAATGCTTTATATTAAATATGAAAGTTTTGTTTAAATATAAGTTAGCACAATACTTTCACCAAATAT